ATCCTGCGCGAGTATGGAACGGTGAGGAGCGGTACGATGTGCAGCTGGTGCATGACGATCGGCTGGAGTGGTAGACTGGAACAGTGGATCACGCGGGTCGTGGTCCGGTCTTATGAACGTGAATACGAATGTAAATGTTATATACCCAGAGTTGTTTAATGCATTGGTTAACTGCACTGCCTACATCCCATACCCAGTCATACTGGGGGGTAAATCCTCCACCCGCGTCCCCCATGCACTCTCGCTCGGCCCCAGCTCAAGTTCCAGGACGCCCCCTTCAATGAAGAAATCATGCGAGATCCAGTTCTTCGTCCATGGCTTCCCGTCGCGTTTCGCACTCTGGATGTATATCGCTTTGTAGCTGGGGTCAAAATTGGTATTTCGCACGGTTGCCACCTTGCCCGTCTCCCTGTTGCGGATGCTGACCTCCTTGAAGAAAGGCGGAGTGATCAGGTATACGTCCTGCCCGTGAACCGGGAAGAGACCCATCATGCTCAGCGCGGCAAATGCGCCCATGGCGCCGCCGTCGTCGTTCCCTGGGATTCCTGGGGTGGTTGCGTTGAACTGCGACGGGATGTAGAAGTGAGCTCGCGAGGCGGACAGCCCAGGCCGGCCGGAATAGTGGAATTGGAAAGTTGGCAGGAAGGCTTGTTCGTCTCCCACGTAGAGGATTCCGGAGTCATGCAGATAGGATAGTCGCGATGTGAATGTCTCCGGGCCGCCGAGACGCGTGATGAGAGAGGCCATATCTTGCGGTACGTAGCTGAAGGGCAGCGGGTCAGCTTCTGTTTCACAAATGAATGGCCGGAAACTCACAATGTGTAGAGCCAGCAGCTCCCTTCGTAGGTCTCGTGTCCAGCGGGATTGAGGTAGCACGAGGTAAAGTTGTACAGCGGGCTGCAAAAGATCGGATCCTGAAATCCCCATGTTCCGTTCAGATAGCGCGGCTGCAGGAACCCGGCGAAACCTGTATCCGTCCCATTGATGTACGACCTCTGATCCGCCTTGAACATGTTCTGCCAGTTCGACGAGCGTTGAATGTACTTCTCATAGTCGGCGTCGTGGCCCAGCCGCTTGGCCAGCTCCGCAATGCAAAAGTCGTTGTACGCGTACTCCACCGTCCGCGAGATACTGCGTGTATGCGTGCCAATCCCATAGGGATCAAAGTCGTCGGTCGGAATATACCCGAGACTCTTCCAGCTATGGAGGCCTCCTCGGCCTTCCACGTTCCAGTTAGAGGGCTCGACTTCCGCGTCCTTGACTACGGCCTCGTAGGCAGTAGCCCAGTCCACATCGCTGACGTTCTTCAGGTATGCGTCGGCGATGAGCACGTCGGCGTTGGAGCCACCCTGAGTGAAGCCCTTGCACAGTGACATGCGGCAGTCAGGGAGATATCCCTCATGGCGGTAAATGTCTACCAGGCTTCGGATCATCCGTGACTGCGACAGAGGGTCTAGCAGTGTCAGCAACTGATGCACCCCGCGATACGAGTCCCAGATGCAATAGTAGCTGTCATAGTACGGCTCCTCACTCTCCCACAGCGGATTCTCCCCCGTGTAATCCTGGGGACTGATCATGGCGCGGTACACTCCGCTCCAAAACACTTTCTGCAGATCCGCAGAGACCCCCTCTGCATCGACCTCAATCACCTCCAGCTTTTCTCTCCATACTTTCTCGGCCGCAGATACCGTGCCATCAAAGTCAAAGTCCGGCTGCTCTCTCTCCGCGTTGGAACATGCTTGTGCGACGCTGATGAAGCTCACCCCGACCCTTGCCAGAAGGGTATTGTCCACCGGAGCATGGAATCGGGCAAATGTCCCAGCAGAAAGTGTTGACGCGTCGTTTGTCCCGTCAGGAGTCACCGAGACTGTCGTTTGATTCGTCCCTGCCCGAGTCTTCATCCACACGCCCGTGTCGCGGAGTTTGGCGCCTTTGAAATCGGCGCAGAAGTGAAGATCGTAGCTGCCTATCCCAAAGCTCGGATTGAAAGTGCCGTTACCGGTCAATCGCCCTGTCGATGGGTCCACCGAGGCGGTTCCGTTCGTGCGGGACAGGGGCAGATCTATCAAATCGACTAGAATCACCGGGCTGAGCGATTCGGAGGCGCCGCTGAACTTGAACCGGTACAGAGCTGACCGATTCGTCACCGTCATCTCCGCATTTACGCCATTCTCCAAAGCGATGCTAAAATAGCCTGGACGGGCTTTGGGGGAGTTTGGCACCCACGCAACCGCCCGATCAGGCTGCTGCCACTTGCATTGATTAAGGTCATCCCCCGGGCAGCTTGCATGAGCAAAGAGGGGGAAATTGCCCAAGGATGGTGATCCACCGGTTCCGCTGTCGTGCATGTGACTGTAGCCAGTCACAACCTTGGTATCATATGCGAAGCCAGCTTGATTCTCGCCCTGCGTGTCTGCTACTGCTTTGGCCATGCCAAAGGGCAGAGTCGCTCCGGCGAAGGAATGGCCCCCATTTGATGTGCCGATGAACGGATCAACATAGTCCAACACGTCGAAGTTCGAATCTTTCTTCTGGTGACCCTCCACGAATGTAGAGGCAACAAGGGCACTTAGCACGGCCAGTGCAACTCCTTTCGACCAGGAAGCTACCATTTTGAAATAGTCTAGCTTTCAAAATGTAATCAACAAGAAGACATCCTCTCCGGAGTCCGTGAAGAAAATAAAGCACCCCAGATTCAATGTGCGCGGCGTGTGTAGGCCAAAGGATTTCAAGGCATTCCAGGGGCTGGTGGCTGGTAAGGAATTTTTAAACCCCTTCCCCGCGTCAAAATCCTCATTTTCCATGTCACATTGTAGTAACCTTCTAACGTAGCAATCACATTGAGATCATCACCTGGTCCAGATGCACCCCTCATATTAATGCTAGAATTCATGTTGCGGAGTGGCTGCGGCCGCCGGGATTTGCAGGGATAACTTCCCAAAGGGGGTTTCGGCAAGATGCAGTAACATAAATAGTCCAACTAGTAGTCACTAGTAGCTGCAATGCGGAGAAATGATTTCAAGAAACCAACCGAAGCATGTGCAGAACCTGTCTGTTCTCCTGATGCAAAATTAGACCCCCGCATTGAATGATAGTGTAAGTAGACAAAGGCTTGACCTACAGAATGCTGCACCCAGGTCCCTTAGAAAAGGGAAACGGAAGAATGCAACAGCACCGCAACTGACATGTCTTCGGTGTCACTTTGACGAGACTGATCTCTTCCGTTCACGAGTGAGTCCTTTAACCTTGGAAGCGGACATCGACGTGGATCAACTACCGGTCAACTGAGGTCGTCGTTGCACCGGACAACACAAGGTTGAGCGTGGAGTCAGAACTGTTAACAGATAGTTTGGCATCAATTAGTTGTAGCTCTTGTGGCTGTGGTGATCGCGGTCTGTCCCAGCCATGCGCAACGTGACTGTTCAGGGCCACGGCCGAATGTCTCCTCACTGTTGACTCAAAAACTTGTCGGGCACAACGGTGTGTGTCGGCTTGCAGATGAGCATCCTTTTGCACCGGACTGTTTTCTTCTCCTTCCCATCAAAGTCCGGATGCATACTGTGCTGATGCGACCTAGCACAGCTCCCGAGGGTGCACAAAGCCTATCAACCGCAAGCAATGATAAGATATGGTTTCGTGGGCAAGGTTGCCAACAGATCAAATCAAATCCATGACAATTCTGTCCCATGACTTTCCAGCCGTGTCGGGAGATGGAGTCTGAATCCTTGGCGCCAGATGAGAAGGGGAGTTGAGGACAGATTCATTTATTGGCATTCGAGAGGCGTAGGGATGCTTGGTCTTCAAGGCTTCTCTTCTCAAGCTGGCATTTTCCTCTCGCAAGTCCTGAATTTCCTGGAGTATCAACTGTTGGGACTCGAGCTCCAACATCATTGTCCCCAAAATTGATAAGAGCTCGGGATGAAAATTTTGAGATGTAGGGAATTCCCCATGCTGAATCAGAAAGTGTCGAGCTCGAGAAATGATGTCAGAGTTTGATGCCATAGTGAGCACATTCTGGGCGCGCAGCTGCTGGCTATCGACCGGTGAAGAACGAACAGACGGACTTTGCAGACTTGACTGTACAGTCATGGTATCTGCCGGAACTGTGCGACCATATATCACAGCTTGAGGTGAAACAGGTGTGCTGCTCCGAGAGACGTCTGGTGAAGCCGCCAATGAGTTGATTAGAGCCGGCGTCTGATCCCATCGCTTATCTCTGCAAGAAGGACAATAAAAATTGCCTGTAGATGTAGCTGTAGCAGAATCTGACAGACATCTTGCATGATACGACCTACAACAAGTCTCGCAGAGCATCAGATCATCCGGATTTCGACACTCTGAGCAGACCAAATTGTGAGGTTTCCCTGCGTCTGCAATCACACGTACATGTTAGTGATTCTATAAGCCGGCTATCTGAAATGAGAGACTAACTGATCCAGTCCGTGTAAATACGGCTCTTTTCATTATCTGTGAACGCATGAGAATCGACCTTCGAGGGCACCGGATGGCCCAGCAGTCGCAACAATGCCTCATGATCTGCTGCAACCTTCGAGCACGGCGACCTGACAAGACCTGCATGACCTTGACTAGCGTCGTTTTGGCTACCCAATCTTCTCAGCATGTCTCTCTTCACTTCGGAAAAGAACTTCTTATGTAGGAGTCAATCTACAAGATTGCCCTGCTTTTAAAACAGTAAGACCCAAAAGCTACATGGCGGATACTGCCGGGCGGTGAGAGGATGCCGAACGACTTGCCGATTTTTATCCGAACGAGCGCCGATGCACGTCATTCGACTTTGCCCCAGTCCATAATCCATCAAGAATTTAAGATCCCTTGATATTTTAAGCTTTCTTTACTTCTTGGCCGAGCAGGAATTTCCTTGACCTACGATGTAAAACTTCTTCATCTTCATTGCTGTAAATTGAGATGAGACCCTCAGTCGCGTTGAAGTCTAGGAAATCATCTCCCGCATATTGGATGCCGCATAGCAAAGATCGACAATGCCAGGGGTACCATCAAACAAAGCTTGCGAGCGTTGTAAAAAAAGACATCTCAAGGTATGTTTCTGGAGCTCAATTGGACGGTCTGACGCATTTTCTGACCTTTCTAGTGCGACGAAACACGGCCGAGCTGTCAGCGTTGTACTAACGCTGGCGTGGAGTGCCCTGGTTATGTCCAAACTCGCAAGTTCATAGACCAAGGTGCTTCTGTAAGGCGTCGATATGCACCTTACAGTGAAACTCATCCAAAGCCACATGCAGCCAAATCGAAGGAGGGTGTAAGTCTTGCCCACTCCCCTAATGCTCGCGTATGATTAAGTCTCATACAAAGACAGCTACCCGGTAATCACTCAACAGGCTTTGAGCAAAATGTGATACAAAGTACTGCTGACCAAGGTCTGTCTCACACCAACTTGGCCTTGGGAACTGCCGAAGTCACTCAGTTAGCGGTCCGTCTAACTCCAAATGAGCTAGTATCAACCCTGCAAGACCCACCTGTGCAAACAGACGGCATGTTCGCAGTACAGGCCGGGCCAACCGAAATTGCAGGTTCGGACCAACAGAGTGCTTCCAGTCAGAGCAACGCACAGAGCTCATTTTCGCCAAACAAGACCGCGGCTGGAGGTTTCGCCGTGGCAAATAATGTCTCCGGCGAGCTCAAGAAATCCAGTACTGCTACGCATTTGAACTCTCCGGGAAGTCCCTCGCAGCCTGGTGAGGAAGAGGAATTTCAAGATATATTCTCGGAGCTAATGACGGGTACTGAGCACGAGCTTGCATTTCTTACGAGGCACTTCTCAGCAACTCTGGGACCCTGGTTCGTAAAGTCTCTCTCTGGCAGCTGCCTGTTGTGCTCATCCATCACAGGCTAGATATCTCGGACTCTGGAAAGTTCTTTTCAGCATACGTTCCGGTTCGCGCCATTGACGATCCTTGTCTCAAGTATGCAATCGCAGCTCTGGCAGCGAAGCATCTGGGCCGAGTCAAAGGCGTAATATCTCCGGCCGGCGGGGGACTGTTTACCAGTCCGCCGACAATGGAGGTGTACCCGAATTCCACTCAGGTGGATTGGTTTCTAAAAGCTGCTAATTACTACTATCTTGCCGCGTCTCGCATCAACACCTCGGTCTCCGATGCTTATTCAGCTGTCTCCAGCACAGCGGTCCTGGAATCCCCAATGGAGGCCGTGAGTCGATGGCTGAACCTCCAAGTACAGCAAACTGGCCATGGACCTCCTACGGAGCAACCAGTCATAGGGACCTTTTGGAGAAAAGTGGAAGACTTACTCGCCGCGGCGGTCATACTTACAACGTACAAGCTCTTGGATGAAGCTGGAGAAATGTGGCAATCGTATGTTGCATTCTAAACTCACCACCAATCGATTGCTTCGCTAACCCCTCTGGACAGTCATCTCAACGGCGCCAAATCTGCTTTTGATGGTTTATTACAAATATACAGCAATTATGCAGAGTCCCCCCAGTTTTCACATGGAATTGCGGCCTGCTTTTTTGACTTTGCTCGCTTCGACTATCTAGGGGCATATTTTACTCGGTCATTGACCCATTTTGATCCGGCCAGCCTGACATTATGGAGAGCTGCCGGCGTCCCCATTGACGAACTAGGAAATCTCCGGCTAGACAGTGGACTGACACGGAATCCAATGATGCTTCAACGGGAGGACCTGGCAGCAAACAGTCTGATCTGGCTTCTGAACAAGGTTCTCAACTTCCTGGCAGCCTCGAAAAGGTCCCAGGTGGAGCAGTGGGTTGGCCAGCCACCGACCAATTCACCTTCTCCAACCGTCTCATCTCCACGTTCCCAGCCGACAACATCCACCTGGTTGAGTCTCTGCTTCGAATTTCAAACGTGGGTCGAGAAGATCCCCGAGACGTTTCGCCCCTGCCTGCGTCTCAATCACCCCAAGGATCTGTCCAAACTGCCTGAGGTCGGCGAGATGCCGTTTCCCGAGATCTTCTACGGCATGACATCCTGCGCCGCTGCGATGCAGCAGTATCAGTTTGGCCGCCTTGCATTGTTGCTCAACCGTCCGCCTGACGTGATCAGCGCACCGAGCACCGCCTTTGACCGGCTACAGGGCTATCGCGAGTTGACGAAAGAAGTTGACTACCGCTGCAAGGAGATTTGCGGCATCGCTCTCGGCAGACCGCAAGGCGGTGTCCGTATCTACATGATACCCCTGCTCTTTGCCGTGGGGCAGTGCCTCGAGAGGCCCGAAGAACGCCAGATTATTGGAGAGCTGCTACGCGGCGTCGAAGCTGATTTGGGATGGGCGACTGGGTCGCAAATCCAGAAGCTCCAGAGTCTGTGGGACCAATGATAGATCGATGCTGCAAAGTTAAACTTGCCATCGGCACCATAGAAATTCACAGCGTGAAAGTCTTGACGGAAAGATTGACTCCTCATTCCTGCAACCACCGAAGGCGATCCGACTTACTTGGCGGGCACTACGTCATTGACGTTCTATGAAGCCTCACACAGCCTCGGAGGAGACTCAATTGATCAGGGCTTCAGACGCCTGCCCCCGCTGTTCAAACACGACCATAAGTCTGTCTCAAGAACTGGAATAGATGCGGATACTGCCCAAAATGGCGCTCCCACCATAACGACTCGGATGGAGCCATCGATGCACATATACCCCTACCGTAGCCGTCACAACATACCAGACGGCATCGCTATCGTGTCCATCCTTAATTCTAATTGAGACTGCGTGTCCTGCAAGGAGATCTAAAATTGGTACGGTACAGCTTGGCTAACGACAATACACGGAGTACAAATGGGTGATATCATCAACACCGGAAGTTCATCCCGGGTTTATGACCGGCAGTCAATCGTTTCGGACTCGGAAATCAACCCCGGGTCTATGTAATGCATCAGAATAGCGTCAGGTTCTACCAGAAAAAGAAAAGTGAAGTTTCGATTGATGGCCATACCAGGTGCCTAGAAACAAATTCGCTCCGATTATCAGAGTTAGTGTCACCAATTCGCCAAGCTGATGCAAATACCATGCGGTGTAAGCGATAAACAAGAACATGAAACGCAAAGATCAAGCATTCAAATGCACAAGCTTGTCAGTCCCATTTGGCACCAATCTCGCCAAGCTCGCTTACTGGAATTCTCCCTTCAGCTGTCATATAACAAAATCGCATAAAAGATCTTCCGAGTGTCACACTACAACGTCGAATTCCAGACTACTAAACAGTCCAGTCTCATGGATCAAAGTAGTACTCTTCGGGACCAGCATCACCAGAACCGCACTGAGAGACCCGACGTCCGGCCTTCCTCCTGTCGGACGCGAGAATTTGGGCGAATTTGGACTTTTCGCGGATCTTGGGTCCGTTCCAATAGAAGATGTAGATCGGGGTGATGAAGATGATGGATAGGAAGCCGAGGAGGGTGGAAGGCCATTCGAGGGGGAGTGATTTGCTCATGTATTTGTACACTGTCCTATTAGCACAGCACCTAGATATCTCTCAAAAGCGGTGCTGGTCTTACTTGGAACTGAATACATGGCTGCGATGCCTGCCAGGAAGTCTCGTGCTAGGGCATTGCCGCCGGTTGCTGAGGCGGAGTATGGTCCGTAGGAGGCAATCATGTAGTCGATTGTGGCCATATAGATGGAATACTGCCTCTGCGTTAGACAGGTTCAGCGGTCCTGAAGAGAACCTTACATTCGCTATCGCAATACAGCTGGAGAATATCATCGGCGCTATCCAGTGCACGTGGTGCTTCGGACCTAGACTGGTCCATGCGAAGCCAAAAAGACCAATCGTCAAGAGTGGAGCAACTAATACTATTGTGAGTCTGCCAGGGAAGCAAAAGTGAGAGACCTACCCCATAGCAGCCAGTATAGACGGACTTCGGGCTGGAGCGCGTCAGGGTCTCGTTCAAGCACACGGCAGTGGCGATGGATCCAGGGCAGAAAGGAGAACCAAGCCAGAATGTATCCGACCATGATCCTTTATACAATCAGCAAGCGCTTGCTCCGCGGTTAAACGTCGAGAGAGACTTACGGAATGAAGGCCAACCCAATTGTGATGGTATTGAAATTCCACTGCTTGTAGACAGGTTCGTAGGATTGCAGGAAAGTGAAGATCAAGGCGTCACTGAAGCCACTGAGGAGGGAAAGCCACAGCACAATGGGCTCCCGAACGAACATGACGAAGGGACGAGCCCAGAGGGTCGCAAAGTACTTGATGTCGACCCGTTTGCCTTTGAGTTCATCACCACTGTACACCTCTTCTCCCTGCTTGCGTCTCTTTCTAGCTTCTCTCGTCACGAGAATGCTGCAGCGCGTTTCCGGCACCCAAAAGTGCACCGCTTGGACGAAGCCACCGAGGATGAGTTGGAGCCAGAAGTTCCAATGCCAGCTCAGAAACGTCGTTACGAAGCCTCCGACAATGGGTGCCACGACTGATCCTGCTACCGATGCAAAGACAATGTACGCCACGGCGTACTGTTGCCGATCTGGCTCCCACATATCCGCAACCATACCGAGTGTCACAGAGCCACCGGCAGATGACAGACCACCCAACGCACGACAGACCACGATGGTGCCAAAATTGGGAGCCAGGGCACATGGTATTTGCCATATGTTCACAAAGAACAAACTGAGTTGCATGACGGGCCATCTCCCATACTCTTCACTCCAGGGAGCCCAGAATTCGCTACCGAATCCGTAGGCAATGAGGAAGTCCATTTGACCCACTCTTGCAGCTTGTTTTGCGATGTGAAAGTGCTTAGCAATCGGAGTGATTCCGCTGGCGTAGAAACTGGCATTGAAGTTCATGGAAATCTGAACCATGACGACGACCGTCAAGATTGTCCATTTCTTCCACCACGGATAGGAGAACCCCAGTTTATCATAGCAGTCAGTCTCCTTCAACTCTACCTTGCCATCGGCCCGTCCATCAGCCGCCCCATCGGCTCCCTCTTCCTTCTGCTGTTCCTCTCCATGGCAGGCTCTAGACTGAGACGCAGGCGAATGCGTTGCGGTACCATCGGGAGCCTCTTGCTTCTCCCCATCAGACAAGCCAAGCTCCTGGGAAATGTCGAACTCGGGATGGGAGCCATGGGAGGCAGACATGGTGCATTGACTCTGAATTGAGGATATGGTTCAATAGAGGTTTGCGAGCGGTGCTCATGATGAGTCTTAGCCTCAATCAGAATGGGGACTTTCTCCATTAAATGCGTCCAGCTCTGCCATACGAGAATCGCCTCTCGCGGCCGGCCTAGACTACGATTGTCACCTTCTTGCCTCCGATTGGTTTGACGTCACGCTACCATAGGCCAGGGCAGGCTCTACCAAGCTTCACCAAGCCTTTGGATGTGGAGGAAACATCCGGGGAGGGTAACACAGTCAACTGCCAATCGTTCTCCGCACTCGCCTCCGCGATCAAGAAAAGGATAGGGCGCAATTGTACCCCGGGGAGAATGGAACGTGGGCTCGTCAAACCTAGCAGCCGGCCACCCCGAGCTTGTTATTTGCAGTGTGGCCAGGATGAGCCGGATCTGCATTCCGAGGTTGCTTGAAATGGACCTCCTCAGACAAATGCGAGTGTCTGGGAAAACGGAGATGCTCTCAATTCATTCAAAATCTCAAGAGGAGATCGTGGAGAGGTTACTGTTTCTCCATGCCTCTGATGATGATGGAATTCGTCGTCAAAACATTACATCATTACGCGACTGTTCCACCCTCCCAAGTGTGGCCGGGCTAAAGGACATGATGATGGAGAAGATAAACTTGAAGGAAAGGTAGCGATAATTGAGCTCCAGCGTAAACCACGAATCCAGCGTGTCTCAGGTGGCCATGGTAAACGTCGTCTCTTACGCTCCCTTGGCGACAGCCAGCACAAAGACAATGACGAACGTTTGGTTTTCCGGCCCAAAGACGAAGCAATCTTGACGACGAACTCGGTGCCAGACGAGGGGACCAAATTCTCGGGAGGTGAAGGCAGCGACAGTGAAAGGAATGAGAAGAACTCCATGTCGATCCGAGTGCACCGGGATTTTCAGTGGCAAGAAGAGCATGCTGGCCGATGAGCATGAATAAAATCTTCCTCTGACAGAGGAAGCTAGCTCTTCTCCCCAAGACTTTGCAGCATGCACAACTGATGATGATGTTGCCTCCGCCAGATGAGAAATCCACCTCCTCTACCTTAACATCTAATTCTCTAACGCCGTCAGTATTTGAGTCAAGAATAAGCCATAGACAGAAATTCCCCTTTTCATCGCTGCAGAAATCCTCATCATCATCCTCGGATATGCTTTCCCCTCCACGTTTCAGCTAAGGGACAACTTCGCTCCGCGAGACGGAGGTCAATCCCCTTCGCCCATGACCTGGGCATTCTACGCGGTTCTTGAGCGCTTTCCATTGCGACAAGTTGTGCTGCATTCGCCTGAGAAGGACAGCAGATCAGAGACAGGAGGATTTGTCCTTCAGGATCTGGTGGTCCATTTCGTTTTACGGCGAGAGGCGATTGAGGATAGAAGCGACGCGGAGATGCGCTGAAAAGTGGATGTCGAAGGAGGCGGCTTTTTTATTCCGGAATCGAGACACAAGTCTCAGAGGCTTATGTTGACCGGTATGTTGGTTGGGTTTATAAGGGTTGTCTTCAACTTTTGTCGGAGACTTTGGAGGGAGCTAGTAGTACGGTGAGATGATGGTGGTGGCATGGGGCGGATCAGGATCTATGTCGAGGGAAGGTTGATGAAAGGATGAAGAGACGATCTAGGCGAGGTATGGGCTGGGTGTCCTGACAGTGAGTGGAAGACTAAAACAAGAGTGATAAGAGAAACTGCAGACTTAACTGTGAGAGCCATCTAAGCGATACTCTTCCCATTTCCATCAATGGGCAGATATGACGAACTCTTAGCAGATGAGGTGAAAGCAAATTAGGTATGATACGAGCATCTGCAGGTATAAAAGCGAGCCCCAGGTACATCATCCCTATTTATACTTGTCCTACACAGCTGCAGGCAACTAGACAGACTTCTTCCTCAAGATCGTCGTCTTCATACTTAAAGCTACTGCTCAAGTCATTGATCTTCTATTTTATCCTTTGCCTCTCAGCTTGATCAATCTTTCCTTCGTCTTTACAGTATCCAGAAGCAGAGCCCAAAGCGACTACAACATCACCATGGAGGAGGGAACTCATATCATCGACCCGGAAGGCGAAGTGATCATCATCGTGCATAATCCCAATGCACCTTTCGCGGTCTGGAACGATGAGAGTGCTCAAGTTGAAGAGCCTGTCAATTCCCGTGAGTCACTAAGTACTACCTACTAGTAACATCTTGACTAACAGCTTGCAGAAAAGT